GAAAAACATGAGGAATGATCAGAGATCCTTAAAACAAGGAAACAAGTTCTACCAATAAAGATAAGTCTAAAGAAAAGAGTAGACGCATCATTCAGGACTGCATAAAGCTCTAAAGGAAATGTAAAAGTTGTGCTATCACATAGTAAACTTGTTCAATTACAAAAAAATAACCCACAGCCTGAGGAAAAGCAGAAGATACAGGAGATACTAGACCTCAATTAGAATATAAGGTACAATCACCTTCAGTTTCTGCCACCACTAAGCATGTCTGTAACATCAAAAGGATCAGGAGTTTCTACACACAAGTCACCTCCACCCCTTGCCCAAAGGAGCCAGGAGCACTTCTAGTTGGCTAGGACATTAGAAATGAGTGCACCAATTACCAAAGAAAGGGAGAAGCAAGAGAAGAAAGCGGTGTCAGCATCAAAAAACCCAGGAGGATTTTTCGCTTTTCCCTAACTCAGCACACCTAGAATGAGTTCCCAGCTGCACACACCCACCAGTACTCTCACAATCTGGAGCAACTCTTTATAATAACTTCACCTTATATAGAAGCTCTTCCTTATTTGACACTAGACAGGTTTGGTCTCCCGATGGCAGAGCTGCTACAACAGCAATCATAGACTTACAGCCTTACTCAGACTTGCCAGGCTCTGAGGCACAGAGTTGCTATTAAAGCTTACTACTGTTATTGTCATGGTAGGTGGTGATTAGGGGGGTGAGGGGGGTGGAGACTCCGTTTCCTGATGAAACCCTCATAAAACTCACTGGAAGGATTGATTTTAAGTTCTCAGCAATCAGTCAGTTTATCTTATGGTCATAAGCGGCACAACCTTCAAATATGATTTGCAACCAGACAGTTCCAACTCAAACTCATCAAAAGGGCAAAAATAGGCACGTAGCACAATCTAAATATACAAATAAACATTCGCTGACCGACCAAGCATTTCTGAATGTCTCAGTGCTCAGAGACAATAAGATTAGAAGTTCCTTCCTAGCATGCCCTCTTCCCCACAAAGAGAGGGGAACATCCAGGTAAAAGATTTCTGCTTCACACCTTCAGGCCAAAAGCCATTAAATTGCTGCACCCACCTCCAATTAGGCGGAGGTAGCTGTCGTTTGTCAGAATGGCATCAGCATGAAACACGAAGATGGGGATCCGCCTGCAGCCGCCACCAGTCCATCTGATGCACGGATGATCCCTAAAACAGCAAGATAGTTAGCACTAGCAGATGCTGAGCCTCACACACACACAGCGTTACCACGATGATGCAGCAGTTCTCCATACTTGCCCATGCTTGCCCAGTTAGCCCACGGGCAGGACACACAGACAAACACACGCTAAGCACTCTGGTGTACTCAGCTACAAAATGAATCTTCTGAATCACCCTCTTCATAGGTAGCTCTTGCCATTTTAAATGGGAATTTTGCTTAATCTATATTGGTTTTATTGAGTATGATTTGGAAGAAACTTCACAGATTTTCATAGCAACGTGTTCTCTTGAATTAAAGCCTGAGAACAAGATCTATAGATCAGGATAGACTATAATTACTGATATCCACACAGTCAAAACTTACAATGCCAATTCCAGTCTCCGATTTAAAAAAAATTCCTCAAACCTGAGCATACTTCCTGCTTGTAATCAGAGACTCTGAGAGGAGCAAAAGGGCACTCGTGTAGAATTTGACAGACTGGAAGAGATTTGGCTCCACATAATCCATGAATTTGTCTGTCCCTCCTTTTTAAATTTCTGACAAAAGCAGTGAAATGCAAGCCCAGAATTTAACAACGATGCCCCCAGCCAGCCATTCAAGTCAGCTACAGGTTGCAACACAGTGATCTGTTCTGCCCAAAACATCAAGTCAGTGTTGAAAACTATCATGTCCTCATTAAGGACATGCACACGGAAAGTTAAAAGTAATTATATAAAAGCTTCAGATGACAGAAAGCAAACTCATCAACCTGCTGAAGCAAATAAAGCTTCATGTTACTCCCTGCTCATAGAAACAGAGCCATGAAAAAGTTAACAGGAAACAGAGGGGCTGGGGAGATACCTATGTCTATCTACACAGATAAAAAGAAACTGAAAGACTGGCACAATGCTAGACAGATGTATCTGGCATTTGAACATGCAAGATTATCGTCACCAAAGGGTTGGAGACACTACAGAAGACAAAACACATCCTTCACTTACAACACAGGAACAGAGATAAAGGACAGCTTTCTGATGCTGTGACAAAATAAGTCTTCATCAGCGTAACCTTGATCCTCTTTACCAAGTTACCCCCTGACAAATCAAGTTTACAACCCCACCATCTGCTTCTGCTACCTTCAAAAATAACTGAAGGAGTGCAGTTAGCTATTCTGACTGGAAGGGACCCAGGAGGATTCCAGAATTTACACTGCAGGACAGACCCTTATGTAAGTGGGAAATGAGCTGAGGCAACAGAAGGGGACTTTATGTTAAGCCTGCCCCGAGGATTTGCAGTAAGGCTACCAACGCTCAGGCAATCCTCCAGGTGACAGTCATTCATTCCTAGCGTGACACTTGGTCACTTAATGCAGACACATTCTAGTCAAAGGCAGTTGTTGAGCTATTCATCAATAAGGGTCTGGCAACTCCAAGCCAACTACTTAATACAAAGTGATCTCTCTCTACAAGGGCACTAAGGCACTGCTGTTTGCAGCTGGACACTGGGTCACAATATGTAATGAGAAGAAAACAAATAAGACATACTAAAGTAGGTGCAGCTGAAGCAGAAATGGGATTTCACTTTGAGAAAGAGGAAGAGAGCAATTCCTTCCCAAGCAAAAATAAAAACAGACATACACTGGATACTAATAGGGGCCCCAGAAGCTAAGCAGAAATATTAGAGCTCTCACAGGACAATTTTTAAAAAACAGCACATAACATTGTGTTTCAGTCCACTACGAAGTATGTTTGCCTTCCCTAAAGGGAATTAAAAACTAAATAAACAAAGAAGGACATGAATTTCCATCATTTCCTTAGGAAACATCAAGGAATTTCCCAGCTCAGGAGTATGACAGAAAGAGATCAAAGGCACCAGAATGTTTAGAGCAGCCCAGCTGCATGCCCAGCTCTGATGAAAGTGGTTCTTTCAGGCTCTAAACGTATGCTGCCTGCCCACAGCTCGCAGACACGACCAGAACCAACCAGCTCCTCCACAGGTAGGACCAGGGGAAGGAACGCAGCGAGAGCTAAGAGGGAGTTTGTTCCCCACTTACTGCAGCCCGTCCCCAGCATCTTCCTCCTCTTCCTCCTCCTCCGAGGACGAGCCACTTTCCTCCAGTCCCCGAGCCATGCCCGCCGGCATTTCCTCCGGGCGTTCTCATGCAGCCGGCTCGGCGGCCTCAGAGATCCCTCCTACAGATCCCAGGGATCTGACAGCAGCTGTTACCTGCAACAGGAATTAACACCCTGAGCACGCAGCCGGGCCGGGCAGGGAGAGCCGAGGGCAGCACGGCTCCAGCACGGCTCCAGCACGGCTCCAGCGGGGCCGCACAGCCCGGCCGCTCCCAGCCCGCGCCCACCAGCCCCCCCCGCCCCGCCGCCTCGCCCCGCCCGCTCCGCGCCTTCCCCACGCTCCAACGGCCCTCCCGGCTGGAAGCTGCCCCCGGGGCGGCCACGCCCGACGGGGCGGTCGAGCCCCGGCCTACCCCGCAGCCTCAGAAGAGGCGCCCCGAGAGCCACCGCCCTGGCCCCCGCGCCGCGGGGCCGGCTTTCCGCGCGCCGTACCCGCTCCTTCATAGCCCCATCGGCACGGTCCGACCCGGTAGCCACTCCCGCCGCTTCCCCGTTACTACAACAACCGGCGGCGGCCGGCCCCGCCTCGCCCCGCCCTCACTGCGCGTGCGCCTCCGGCGCCGTCCCTCCCGCTCCAGCGCGCACGCGCGGCGTTTCCACCACCCCGAGCGATCGGCAGCGAGGGGGCGGGACCGGGCGCGGCGCGGCCTTCGATTGGCGGAGGTGGCCCTCGCGGCCGCGTGGCGCGCGCGTGGAGCGGCACGCCCGCAGCCAATGGGAGCGCAGGAGGGCGGCGCGGGTCGGAGCCCCGGTGCGGGAGCGCGGCGCGGGCCCGCGGCGGCGGCAGGATGAGCCGCTTCCTGAACGTGTTGCGCAGCTGGCTCGTCATGGTGTCCGTCATCGCCGCCGGGAACACGCTGCAGAGCTTCCGCGACCACAGCTTCCTCTCGGAGAAGCTCTATACCGGCAGCCCCGGTCTTGGTAAGGGCTCGGCCCGCAGCCGGCGGGACGCCCTCCCCGTTGGCGGGAGCGCTCCTCACCGCGCTTTTCCCCTCCCTGTGCGCAGTGAACGGGCTGCAGGCGCGGACGTTCGGCATCTGGACGCTGCTGTCCTCGGTGATCCGCTGCCTGTGCGCCATCGACATCCGCAACCAAACGTACGTGGGCGGCGCCGGGCGCGGGCGGGGCAGCGTCGGGTGCCGCGCTCCGAGGGCCGCGTGTCGCCGGACAGAGCCGTGCGGGGCCGGAGGAGCCCGCTGCTGTCCCATAGCGGGTAGTGGAGCGACGGTGGGAAGATGTCCCGGGTGACGCGCCCTTAGTCAGCCCCGTCTCGTCGCCCCGTTCCTCGGCTCAGCCGGTTCTCACCCTGTTTCGCGTGCCCTCCTGCTTCCCATGCCGCCAGCGCCTTGCCCTCGCTCTGCCCCTTCGCCCACCTGCGGGCAGATAACGCCGGTGACAGCACACCGCTGAACACGCCACCCTGTTTTCCCAGACGTTGCCCGGCGACCTTTAGTACCTCCCTGCACCAGGGACTGACTGCCCTCTTGCTCCACAGCGAGGAAGAGAGCGGGCAGCGTGTGGCTTTGCTGCCTGCAGTGCCGGTGCCGTGAGTTTGCTAACCTGCTTCTTTCTGCTCCAACAGCCTCTACTACATCACGCTCTTCACCTTCTTCATGGCCCTTGTTCACTTCCTCTCTGAAGTCTTCATTTACCACACTGCAGCCTTGACGATTGGAGTCATGGCACCCCTCATGGTAGCAAGTAAGCAAAACCCCGCATCCTGCCTCCCACCCCCAACCTCTTGCGGAGTTCTCAGCTCCCTGACAATTACCTGTGGGGCAAGGAGGAGGTGTTCAGCATGTTCCATCTGCAGCCTTTCTTTATACAACTCATGCTTTATCTCCATCACAGGTTTCTCTATCCTGGGGATGCTGATCGGGCTACAGTACCTAGAGGTAGAAGCACTGTCAGAAAATAAGAAGAAAAACTGAGGCTGAGCACACTGTAAAGGTCAGCATCATCTCCTGTTCTCACTGCCAAACTTCCACTAAGCTCTGAACTTCTCCAGGATGCCAGTCCTAGTGGCAGACTGATGTTGGACTCTGTCAATCATCTTTCACTACTGAGTGTTTTATCTTGTCCAGGCAACATTTCAGCTGACTGGTGTCAAAGACAAACCCCATAGGAGCCTGTCCAAGCTTGCAGGGAGCGCTTGGTGACTGCGTCCCTGCAGGAGGGCAGGGAGTGCCTCGGGTATGCCCATGAAAATGCTAAAGGCCTGCCCCTGCTGCACCCATGGGGAGGAGGTACAGAGCCACCCATAGTCTGCTGAATGCTTTGGACGGGAAAGAGGAACGTGTGCTGCTGTGGTCCAACCGTGTAACTTGCATGTGTGTGTTCTGCAGGGGCCATTTCTAATAAATGACAGAAAACTGACGGATGCGGTGTCTGTATTTGTGCTACCCAGCAGCAGGTAAATATTCTTCAACTTTGGAACATGTAGTTTTTACTGCATGTTGTAGGACATTATCCTGCTTTACAGCACCTTTATCATTCACTGAGTCCCTTCCACCAAAGCTCCAGGTCTGACTGAACGTATCACACACATCCAAAGAGAGTTGTTGCAGCTCTCACTGCTGCAGCATTCTAGTAGCAACAAACTGCATGCATCAGGAGTGAGCTTTCTTTGCAATGAGCTGCAACTGTAACAATGAGCAAATGGGAACAGGTTACTTAGAGCTAGATGAAAGAATATCTAGAGCAAATAGACAGTGTACAAAAGGTAGGAAGGAACCAGCAGGAGCTGGTAAGGGAGAAGCCTATCCCTGTGAGGAAGAAGGGGGAAAAATAAAAGGAAGAGAAGAGTATAACAGTAGCAGTGGGCAAATATTTTTTCTATTCTGCATTTCAGGCTACTAAAAAACAAAAAACAACAACAAAAAAAACACAAATTGAGACAGTTTTAACCCTATAATACGAAAGTGTCATATTTCATTGTACTTGAAATGTTTTTATTTCATATAAAAGTTATATTTAAAAGCCATTTTAGACCACATCCTCAATCCCAAACTATCAAAAAAAGGAAATTTTTTAATATATTTTCATCCAGTCTGCATTTGTGTTTTTTTTTTCCAGTAGGAAGTATGTGTGCAACTGTATAATATTGGCATAAGGACACTTGATGTCTCCACCAAGGGACGGATGCTGGAAAGGAAGGAAAAGGGTTTGGGGGTCTATGTTTGTGACTGGGAGATACCCACAGTTCTGTCTCATATGCTGGTGTTTAAGAAGGCTTCCAGTATAAAGTGGAAGCCTCTATACTAGAGCAAATCATCGTCCCCACTGTGCTGAAAACACCTCGGCATAGCAGCACAGGGCAATATTGCCCTGACAGGTCATCTGATATTCCACAAAGGCTTTTGTGTAGTGTTAAAAGTTGCAAAAGGCACTTCATCATTAAGGAGGAAGATATGATCTTCAGCCTTGAGAGCTTGTGCTTTGAGTCACTCCTGCTGCTAGCCCAGTGCTGATATGGGCTCAGGCTGTAGCCACAACACTAACCCTTGCCTCTAGTAGGAGATCTACTGGTCTCTCTCATTTATTCCTAGTATATAGGAACATTAAAGCAACCCAAGTGAATTCTAGGTGAATCTTTATCTACAGCCATGTATAAAAAAATGGCACTGGCAGTTGCACTGCTTTGCACTGATTGGCTGGTGTTGTGCTGAAGCCCCTACCATCACCTGTGCAAGATGGAGGGCATCACAGACACTCGGTGCAATCTCCCTTCCTGAGAGCCAGGTCACAGCTCTCCCAGGGCTGCTCACAGTCCAGCACTGGCATTCTGTGTCATTGCTTCCCTGGGAGAGGAGGCACAGACCACATGCAAGGTGCCACCCTCACCTGCTCAGGACTCGCCTGGAACTGGGGCTTTTCTGAAAACGTGTGCTTTTCTTCTGAGCATACATGGAGTGAAGGGGAGCAGTGACTTTTCTCAACTTTTCCTATCACTCAGCACAGACTCCAGAACAGCAAGGTTCAGAGGTATAACTGAAGGGAGCAAATCCCTTCTTGTTTCACTCTGTCATGCTCTACAAGCAGTTCCCAGTCGCCCCTCTGCCAGAATTCACATGTAACAGGATGGTGTAGCTAGCAAAGGTGAGAATGAGGGCAGGGTGGTGTCCCGCATCTCCCAGCTCTGCCACCCTTCTTTTTCACAGCTTTGACTCCTCAAGGACTATGGGAACAATGCAAGCTTCTGGCATCACTTTCTGCAAGTCAGAGAGAGAAAAAGAATACGGTTAGGATCCTGGGTGGCCACACTTTGGCTTCAGAGACCAGCAGGTCAGAGGCTGGCTCATTCACAGCTCCCCACTTGTGTGCACAAATCACAGAACCACATAATAGGTTGGCTTGGATGTGACCCTTGAAGATCATCTTGCCATGCGCAGGGACACCTTTCACTAAATCAAGTTACTCAAAGTCCCACCTGACCCGACTTAAATCCAAAGAATCACCATTACCACACCCTGAGGGCTCAATCCAGGAGTGCACCCGGCTCACTCTTTCAGAACATTCCAATGCCCAGACAAATGGCTGGAATAATTCCACAGCATGGTACAGACAAGGCCTTCTTCAACATTCATTACTTGTATCCTAAAATGCCATAAGAAATTAAAGGCATTTTAGCTTTGTTTTTTTGCTTTTTTTCCTAAGACCTCTGAAAGAATTAGCCTGAATACCTGAACTTTCCTACAATTTCTTCCCTTAAAGCAGAGGCAGCTGTACAGTCATTTCACAGAGGAAAAGCAAGGGCAGTACAGCTTGTTGCCAAATTAACACAACCTGGGACTGCATAAAACAGCTGAACTTCTGCAATTCCAATTCAGCCTCCCTGGGTAGGGCTGGATCAGCCCCTCTTGCTGCATCTTTGAAGGCAGAGTTATGATTAGACCTTACACTCCCAGGTCCCCCAGCAAGATTCAGAAATCTCTCCAAGTTCTGGCTAAATACACTGAGACACCTCAACTGTCACTGATTTAGAAGACAGCGTGCAGACCTGTAAGGGTAAACATGGGTCTTGTACAGCCTGGACTCTGAGTTAACTCACTGCAGGGCAAGACTGAGACCTGAGGCAGGAGTCAGAGGTGTACAAATAGGTTTGCATCCACAGTGCTGTTTGAGATAAGCCCAGGCAGCATGAAAGCAAGAGTTACAAAACAGTTTCATTCCAAGTGGCTTCTTACACAAACGGCAGCTGAAAAGGTTTTGAAGAGGTCAGCAGCAATATCCGAACGCAGAGTGAGACCAGAAAAGCTTCAAAGACATGCCTGGAGGCAAGAGCCAGGAAGCACAAAAAAGAGAAAACTTCCCATCGGCAGGAGGGTTTGCATGAAGCAGTGCTAAAGGTAGGAGCAACAGGAAAGCTGCATTTAGGCTTGAGAAAAGCCGTGAGACATAGAAGCGTGCTGGCAGCTCTGAACAGGCCCCCCAAGCACCTCTGGGGACTCAACGCTTTTGTGGTGTGGAGCTACAGGGGTGATGGTTTAGGCCAGGATGCTGGGCTCCATGTCTTGGGACAGGAAGGCTGCTCCCACAGGTGGGAGACACAGTACTAGAAAAGGACACGCAGCCGGCCTGCCCATGGCTGTGGGAGAAGGCTGCTTGCCATACAGTAAACACACAGAAGGTGCAGGCAAGTCTAAGAAACAGGAGAGGGCGCACACACTGTGCCTACTATGTAAAATTCCATCTTATTGTTTTTTTTTTTTTACTGGCAGTATTTCACTAGAGCTGGAGCATGCTCCAGCTTCCAAGGGACTCCAGTATGCTACAGGAGTAGAATGCTTTCCACGGTGTCATGGCCAGCCTCTAAATTGCAGGGATGAAAAGGCAACATAGTTTTGGGTGTTCCACTGAGATTCAGCAGACCCATCTTCATACTGGGCAAATGCACAACCATCAATACATGGTACTGAGCCCTGACTGAGTCCTGACCTATCCAGGACACAGTTTAAGAACACAGCAGAACTTGAGCCTCGCTTTAAGCAAATCCCTTATTATGACTGCATGTCTAGGATGGCCACTGATCTGCCCAAAATCACCTACACTCATCAGTGCTCAGCCCTGCTGGTAGAGTAACACTTGAGACTAAAGTTTTGAATTTTATTGCAATACAAAAACCAGGACAAAGCCAGAAATCACTTTTGCACCTACACTCTGCTATCAAAAATAGGCTCTTGATGCACACAAATACACAAACACACAAAAAAATCTCCTACTATATGAAATCGATGTGAATATCCTGAATACACTTCAATCCAATTTGTTACATTCAAAGAGAGCTAGCAAAGCCCAGTCTGAAGAAAAAGACAGTCCAGACACCTTGAGATCCTGCACAAGCAAACAAGCACAATAACTTGTTTCTTAAAAATATATATATACATAAGCTTAGAAGTATTTCCAAAGAACTGTTGCTTAAGAGCTTTCTTGTAGAAAGGCACTTCCGACACAAAACAACTACAAAAATCAGCAAAGATGTTTCTTTACATTATGCAATAAACAATAACGGACAGTTTGCATAGGTGCTGGAAACCAGGAACAGATGAGCACAGGCTGTATGCAGCATAATTATGACAATAATATGGATCCCCAATTCACTACTGTGAAACCTCAATGCAGAATGTTGGAATGGCTTCAGATACACTTACGTATATATAGCCAATTTTACATGATAATGAGTCTCTCTGTGGGCATTTGATTCAAGTGTCCTGAGATACAGAATGCTGACGCTCTAGGAATTGACACAAATGACAGGACTTTTAGAACCACATTACAGACTTCTCAATAGAGGACAGTGTTCACAGTACCATTTAGATCCATTAAGTTCAACTGCAGCATCTGTCTAACTGTAACCTTAAGCAGCAAAAAGGCACTGACAGAAGACAAAGTGCTTGTGAGCACAAGGCAGGTCCTGCAGGAAGAGGAGGAAACTGTCCTGCAGTGTTGACAGTCACCAAAAGCTCTGACAGGCAGCTGCCTGGAAGCTGTGGTTCCTGGGCAGACAGTGAAGGCAGATAACAATACCATCTCTTTTCACTGATGCTGTGGCATTATACATTCCTCATCTCTCTGACAAAGTCAGCTGCTCAGCCAGATTCTAGACTTTCTATTTCATCAGCAGAAGATAAAACTTAGTGAAGATCTTTCTGTATGACAATTAGCACGTGTATTTTTCTTTTCTGTATACTCTGAGAAATCAAGCTGTTTCACAGTCCTACTCTGCACAGTTAGAAGCTGTGAAGTTCTCCACCCAATCATTTCTATTTTCACACCAGGAAGATTCAAACCTTGCTAGGCCCAAAACCGGATGACAGGTCCCACACAGAACAGTAAGTCAACCATCCACCTCCACCATGGGACTGCACCTCTGTTGGGTCAGTATCAGAAAAAACACACTCATCAACAGGACCACACGACCAATAGTACAGCATTTCAGTGGACAGGGTGCACAGCTCCACAACCCTGCAATTTCTGGAAGCTCACATCTGACTCTGAATGTGTCTTCTCCTTGCAATAGCTATAACACAGCATGCCCGAGCCTCACAATGCCCGTTTTGCAGCTGGGATGAGAGCAGTAACACTGGCAGTTGTACCAAGACAGGACCATTACCAGTGAAGACAATAGCATAAGCTTCAAACATCAAAAAAACTACCAGTACACTAGAACAGGCTTGCCCAACTCATGCAGCTTCAGCTTCTCAGCTACTTCATCCCAAGCGAACACGATAGATATATGCCAGCTAAAAAAGCCACAGACATGGGTACAGCTTTAGAAGTGCTCAGTCTAGAGGCAAATCTTGCCCAGTGAGTGTAACTGCTCCTCATGCTTGCGTCAAAGTGTGGCAGCTTCACACTCCCTGTAGCTCATGCCCAATCTTAGCGGGTTTGAGGTGGTTTTCTCCAAGAGACCCTTGTGGCTTCTGTCTGTTAGTCCCATAGATCATGGCCACAAGATGATACACACATTTGATGAGAAGCACAGGGTAGCCCAGTTAACCTGGCAGAGCAGCCAGCCAGCGCGCAAAGCAGAGAGCAGTGAGTAATAAAGCACCACACCCAAAGCAGCAGCTTAGAAAATGCCAAGTGCCACTAAGATTCACAGAAAGACAAGCACAGAGCTTTACGATTTTCAGGTGCTTGTATACCAAAAGGCACCAAACCAATGACTTTGTTATTGGTTGTGATGAAGTCCAACTCTTCTACAGAGCTCCTGGTACCACTTCCAGACAAGAATCCAGATGGTAAAAGTAACATCCGAGAAGGGCCTTCAAACACATTTCCTCTCCCCTGTAACTTACTGTCAATTCAGTTCATCTGCTCCAGTACCAGACTTTGCAATGCTGCACCTCTTTGAACACCTCATCCAACACAAGCTTGGTGGGTGTTCACTACTATGGAAAGCTGTCTTATCTTTCCTCTCAAAGCCGTACCCAGGAAGGGCAGCTCTCAGCACTCCATACCTGCTGTTGCTATCCCAGAAGTGTCATTGGCTTGGTGCCTGTGCCACCCGTGAGTGTTCAGACAAGCAAATTAGTGTGATTCTCCTACCTTTGTATGTGAGCTAGTGAACAGGAATGGGAATTGATGGGATTGGGGTTACAAGCTACAGTCCATAAGCCGTGATCTGATTGCTGCCTTGAAGTCTCTGTAACAACAGCCACAAGTCAGATCCCAGAAAACATGGAGGCAAGTAGGGAAGGGGAGGAGAAAAAAAAAAAAAGAGGAACAGGTAAGAAAGAAACCAGTACAAACACCCAAGCACAGGTAAGTCAGCCATGCCACATGGCAAAGCTCCAGTGTACTGACACCATCAGAACTCCCCACAAAGGCAGCACAGAGTGCCTCTGCCCACCTGGTTGAGGGATCCATAATAATGCAGAATACCAGGTTCAGCCTCACTTCATTAGGTCAGGCACTTGGGGCCGGTTGTTAAGCCTGAGAAATAACCTGGTATGCCCAGCCATTTGTAGTAGAAGTGGAAAAGGTGTCTATAATGACTTCCACAGAGCATGAGTCCTCAAGGGAAAGTGCTGGCATTGAAGTTTTTGACTGATGAGACCTTCTACCACACATGCATCCCTCTGGTTCTTACTGCAGTCAGTTTTGGAAGCTTTTAGGATTACAGAAGTGACCTGTACTACTTCTGTTCTGGTCTCAACACCTCCTCTCCAGCAGCAAACTCTTACAACTTTATTTTAGATTTATCTAAAAATGTCAAAAGAGTACAATTCATCTAGCAAGAGAAATGCCTGACAAGAAGAGAAAGGGCCTTAATGCCACTAGGCAACATAACCTTGATATTTTCTGGATCTTCTACATGTTATGAATTAACTGTGTCACCAGCAACTCTCATGACAACCTTGCTGGCAGAGGGCTTGAAGAGAAAGGATGGCTTGCCTTAAATTTTATCCTGTTTCATCACTGCTAATCATGGGATACAAGCAGTTTGGTGTGTGCAAAACAGACTGCTTGTAATCCTAGCTCAGCTAAACTAAGTCTCTTCCCATTAACTCTACTCATACCAGGATTCCAGGAGAGCAGCAGTCTTCTATCTTAGTTGCATAAACCCTGATGCTTACCACTCCTACAATCAGCTGAAGTTGTCAGCCCCAGAGCAGAAAAAAAGCAAGAACTGTTCTTAAGTTAAGACAACAGGAGAGGCTACTTTACCCAAACTAAGTACATTTACACCCTTTTTTTTTCCCAGTCTACTCTAGAACTTTATGTGCAACAACTACCCACAGCAGCATCAATTCCATGTACTTATCCTACTTTCTGCATTTATGCTCAGATAGTTCTATAAAAACAAAACATACAAACAAAAGGCATATATTTTGTAATTGAAAATCCACCTTCCTGAGGAGCTGGTTGGAGTAGGGCTGCTTCTTGGACCTTTTGGTCTCTCTCCAGATTGGACTGGCAAGATTAACTGGAGAAAGGCAGCATCATCTTCTGAAAAAACCTGACTTGAGCCAGCAGAGAACTGAGCTTATTCACTTTGCCAGTCACGGTCGCTGATGGCTTCATGAACACTGAATGGACATCTCTGCTAACATCCCAGAAGAGGAGTCCAGAGCATTAAGGAGAAGCGCCCCAAGAAACCACCAATCCTCTCCCTCTCCCTGCAGAAAGAACTTCTGAGAGTATCCACTGCAGTTCATTCACTGGAGGCCCTCTCCCACATGCAAACAGCTGCAGCGACTGCAACATTACACCACCAGGACCTGCTACCCTGCCTTCTGACATAAGCTAGAAGTTTTGCCTACAGCACTGCATGAAGTGTAAGGAACTACACTGCTGAAGCCCTGATTTGGGTTTTGCCACTCACTTTCCTCCTGTCCTGAGCAAAGAACTCCACTTTGCAGCTAAAGACAGGGATGAAGAGGAACAACTTGCCTCTCTAGGGAGCTGGAAGAATAGTTACCCAGCTCTAAACGAGGCAAAAGTATGGTTAGAGGAAAGAAGCCAGCACAACTCCATTCCACAGCTGTCTTTAACCGAGAACAACACATGTAAAGCTCTGCACACTCCCAGAAAATCAGAGCCCACAGAGTCTGCAGAACATTAAAAGTAAGCCAACAGAGGCTCCCAGCAGCTGGCAAAGCGGAGATTACAGCCACCTGTCTGAACATGCCAACAAGGAGCTTCCCCACAGGCTGGGCAAGTGGTGGGACAATAAAATAGAATCACAGCTACAATCGTAACTCAGAAAGGGGCCAGCTCCATTCCAAGAAGTGAGGGAGGCTGAGGTTTGTGCTGAGCCAATAGCAGGTGCACAACAGAAACTGAAGGGGGATTTACTCACTGTGTGTTCATTTTCCACATTTGCCTGCTGTCTTCGGAGATCAGCCCTAATGAATGCTTCAACAAAGAGAGGAAGAAAAATGTAAAGGTAGTTTAATTACCATGCAGATCCCAAATCAATTTATCTCATACTCAAAGAGGTAAAGAGGCCCAAGGAGAATGCATAAGGGTGAGCAAGGGAAACTACTGTCCCAGAACAAGGAAGACAACACTTCTATATGGTGCAATAAGGAGTCTCTGTCCTTCCTTTTTCAGAATGTACATCTTGGAAACTCCAAAAAGCAACCAGGGCAAGAAGCCTTGGATCATTTTTTAACACAACCCAGATGCTTCAAAAAGTACTGTGACACTGCCATGGGGCTGCTGTGTGGGTTCTGCCCTTCCCTGAAAGTAATGCCACCCGCTAAAGCCCTTCAATTCACATGCCAAGCCCAAGGGGAAGAGTCACAGCAGAACACTCAGAAATTTAATTACCTGTCATAATGGACCCCAGGAACAGGAAGGAACAAAGAAAGAGGTTTCCTGCCTTTGTCCCAAAGTGATCTATGATCTGCCCTTGGCTGATGGTGAAGGCAATACCGAAGATCTACAAACAAACACAAGGTCAAGCTGTACTGTTATAAAGTAGCCTGAACAGCTTTCCCGCTTTATCGAACTGTCAAATCATACAGGCCAGACAAGCTGTTGCCCTCACTAGGCTAAAGTTTAGTTATAAACACGTCCAGGGATACCACCTTTCAGTTGATGGGAAGACAGGAGACCCTTAAGGCTAAAAGCCCGTCTCTGGGCAGAGAGTAAGACCTCTCTCACTGGACTGCTAGGAACAATGATGGAAAAAGCAAGTATGACTGGCTTCCTGATGGACACTTTCCTTAACAAAAACAGAATGGGTGCCAGTAAACAAATGCCACAAGGACCATCACTTGAAATGCCAGGTTCTGAGGTGCTTAGATCTGTAGTACACAGGAATAATCGCAGACAAGAAATGAGATTCAAGGCTGGGAACTATAGTTTGAGATCTCTGCCTACTAAGAAAAAGCAAGAAAAAGAAAAACAATACCAACCTGTGCTGAGACATTAAGGAGCCCTGATGATGTTCCTTCTGATTCTGGGTATGTCAACTCTGCAGCAAATTCAAAGCCCAAGGGAAGGTACCCTGTCATGAAAAATCTGTGAAGAAACACACAGAAAAGAAGACTCAGTGACTGCTAGGAAGAAGACTGAAGAGGCACAGTGTAGCACAAATGCCTGCTGGGATGCTGGACTTACTGCTCAGGATATTTCCAGTATCATTTCCACAGCCCACACAGCTGCCTGACTCCCTCTTCATGGCATAGGTCTCCCTCCTACCCACAAACACTTTTGCTCACAGCCTCAGGCATGGAGCGAAGCCAGCAGGAGGCTGCAAAGAAGGAGGTAGTAAAAGCAGCATCTCCCAAAAGCAACACAGAAGGGCATTACCCCCAGCACAGTCCATCAGCCAGACAGGCCTACATGCATTTTCCTTTTGTCCTTATCCCACATGGGAGCCACAAGCAGGATGCGGCTCTCTCCAGTCCTTTCTGGGCCATGACTTTTGCCTCCCTTCTCATATCCTAGCAGCTCAAGCACGGAGGAAAGCAGCCTGTACACGAACTTACCCCAGAACGCCTGCAGTCACAAAGACCACCCAGAGGTGGCCTAGGTTCAGAGTGAAAGTGTAGACTATCATCCCCACCAGAGACATGATATAGACCACTAGTGTTGTCTGTCTGCAAGGAAAAGCACAGTCAGGGTTTTATATAATCAAATTCTCCCTTTCACCCATATATCTTGGCATATCTTGCAGCACACAGTAAAGAAAAAAGCTGTGCAGCTCTCATGCACTCCACACTCTGAAATAATCAGGTCTGGAGGACAGACCCTCATCTAGAACAGAGGGAAAACCAAGGTTGTTGTTTCATGTGTATTTGTTTTTCAGTGCACTGCAGTGATGCCACTTTTTGTTTAAGCTAACTTCTACATTTGGAGAGGTGAAATGTAAGCTGAATAAGAAATAGGCTGAAGGATAGAATTACAGCTTCCTGGCTGTGCTGACCAGGTCTGAATTAGATGGAATTTCTATGAACAGGAGTCTCCAAACTTCACACAAGTCAATGCCAAAATACATGCTTATCATCATAAGCCTCCACGATGCAGCTGTGATCCTCAGAAGCTTCATCTCTTGATGATGTGATCATCAATCTCTATGATGTAGTCATCAATGGCTCCATGTCCAGGTGGAGGCCGGTAACGAGCAGCATCCCCCAGGGGTCTGCCTTGGGACCGGTGCTCTTTAACATCTTTATCAATGACATCGATGGCGGAATTGAATGCACCCTCAGCACGTTTGCTGACAACACCAAGCTGAGTGGTGCGTTCAACACAGTTGAAGGAAAGGATGCCATTCAGAGGGACCACAAGGGGTTAGAAAGGTGGGCCCGGTTGAACCTGATGAGGTTCAACACGGCAAAGTGCAGAGTTCTGCACTTGGGCCGGAGGAATCCCAGGCATCCCTACAGACTGGAAGGAGAGGTCCTTGAGAGCAGCCCTGTGGAGAAGGACCTGGGGGTCTTGATAGATGAAAAACTTAACATGAGCCAGCAGTGTGCCCTTGCGGCTCGGAAGGCAAATGGTATCCTGGGCTCCATCAGAAGAGGGGTGGCCAGCAGGGACAGGAGGTGATTGTTCCCCTCTACTCTGCTCTTGTGAGACCCCATCTGGAATACTGCATCCAAGTGTGGAGCCCCCAGTACAAAAAAGACAGGGAGCTGTTGGAGAGGGTCCAGAGGAGGGCCACAAAGATGATCAGGGGGCTGGAGCACCTCCCCTATGAAGACAGGTGAGGGAGCTGGGCTTGTTCAGCCTGGAGAAAAGAAGGCTGTGGGGTGACCTCATTGCAGCATTTCAGTACCTAAAGGGAGCCTACAAACAGGGGGCGAATCAACTCTTTGAAAGGGTAAATAACAGCAGGATGAGGGGAAATGGTCTTAAGTTGAGGGAGGGGAGATTTAGGTTGGACGTCAGGGGGAAGTTCTTTACAAAGAGAGTGATGAGGTACTGGAACAGGCTGCCTAGAGAGGTTGTGGATGCCCCGTCCCTGGAAGTGTTCAAGGCCAGATTGGATGGGGCCCTGGGCAGCCTGGTCTAGCATTAAATGAGGAGGTTGGTGGCCCTGCATGTGGCAGGGCGGTTGGAGATTCATGAGGTCCCTTCCAACCCTGGCCATTCTGTAATACTGTGATCTCTGCTAGCAGGGACAGTTGGCACACTGGGAAAATTGTTTTCTGCACCCCCAGCCAGTTTTGGTCTCAGTGCAGAAGTCTGATGTTAGTTTCCCAGGCTTATGGTTCAGGTTTTTGAAGCAGTTTATAACTGCTTCACTATTTCTCGACAGTTGCCCATATTTGCACTTCACTCCTCAACTCCAGACAAAGAAGATGAATGAGTTAGTGACCAGATGTGGTCAGGACCTTGTTTCATATTGATGCTATGTCAAGCTGCAAGAAGGAAGTTCCCAGAACACACAGTCCTCCAATGAGAACTAGGCTGGCTCAGAGAAGCAAGCAGCTCTTGCAGTTTAAAGCAAGTTATGTTTTCCACTGGAACTGCAGAACTTAGAGAGGTGAAAAAAATGAAGAAAACTTTTCAATCTTGCCATGGATACCATACATTAGTAAACTCAAAAAAACAACAAGCTTTCTTTATTGATCTATATCCCTCAGTCACTAGGCTCCAGCAGTACATAATGAATTGACAGTCACCTGGGAAAAACAAGACTGCAGGCTCCAGGACAGTGGAAGTCACACACCAAGAAATGCCCTAGATGTGCATACTGAGTTTGTCCCTACTTGCCACAGTCCCCAGTAGACAGCTCTGACTGCAACTCCTGCTGCAGGAAACAGCCTCAAACATACAGGTAGGCTTCTGTTAAACAAGGCTTTAGCAAGACTCTGCTCCCCTGAGTATATCATGGATGACAAAAAAGGAGACTCAGTGACAAGCAAGGCCCAAAATTTTGCATACAAGCAAAAAGCTTAGCCAAGACGCAGGCAGATACTGGGCGTAGGGAAACAAAGGAACCCCTGGGGAAAGACACCAAGGCAGGGTGTTTCTCATGAAGCGGCCTTTTGTCAGCACATTTGCTAGTCAGAGGACAAGGAGAGTGCACTATGACTCTAGGGGCACCCAGGGCATGGAAGAATGCCTTGTTTTGCTTGATAAGGTTCTTATCACTGTCATAAACATCTTATGGGAGGGATAAAAACATGAAGAAACAGATTCACAGAGGACATTTGTGAAAAATACCAGGACACTGCAAGCTGTTCCCACAATGCCCCTACAGGGACTGAAAGCTATCCTCAACTGGGACAGGTACAACTAGTCTCCTGGAAAGGATGCCCAATGCAGTGAGCATGTGTTTGAAGTTACGTGTCCTGATACATCACCTTAGGTCAAGTGGGCAGGATATGGTGAAGGCATGCCCACTACACCAGGACTAGCCTGGAAAAGGGTTACAACAGCAGGCCCAAAAGGCAGACCAGGATAGGCTGGCCACTTTTTTTCAGTGAAAACTCATATGTCCCATTCTCTACTATCTGAGTCTTCCCTCCTTCTCACAAATTTTAACATACTTTGGGCCTGCACAGACCCAGGTTTAAAATATCACTTAGGTACTCTACCTGGTCAGTGGAGGGAAATGGTTATTTCTGAAACAAATATGACAGTAGAGAGCACTGTCTGGAACTGTTAGTTAGACTGAAGCCCATGTGAACATTGCTATTAAAAGCTAAGTTCAGCTGAAGAGAAGCACTGACCTAAGGCCTTCAATTCTAAACCAGGCTCCCCTAATAAATGCAAAGGCACCCAAAGTGAACAGGCAGTCACCAAGTGTCACAACCCCATCTCTCTTTCCAGCCAGGAAGGTGAAGGATGCATAGGAAGTTCCATTTAACTCAGAGTCAGAACTTTTCAGAATTTTTCAAGAGGTGCTCAGCTCTCAATCAGCCATCCCAAAGGCAGCCTGAGCTCTGGGACAGTTCACTTGCACATTTGTTTGGGTCAAATCTATGCCTGTTAATTCCAAAACTAAGAACAGTGATGGGGCTACTTTAGGGACTTGCCTGCCAAATAAAAGCAAGAATGCAAGGCCATTTGGTGCCTGAGCACAACAGATGGAGAAAGCCTGACTTTGCACAGCCTCACCCCTGGAAGGAACTGCTGATGGGACAGTGATGATCAAAAATCCACGAAGTGTTCTACAGTTTCTTGTGTTACTAATCTCCTCCTGCTCCTCTCAATCACAGCTGGATCTCATTCACTTGCTTCTCTCTCCCTCTCTCTTTCTCTGAGCTGACTAAAAAAAGGACTTGACATCTTTCCTTCCTGATTTTCATGTGCTTACCATTTCATTCCTGACACTATCAGAGCAGTGCAGAGAAGGGGGAGGGTACCTGCCTAGAACATCTGGCATCTTGACAGTTTTTTAAATAGACTTTTAAATGAGGCTAAATAAAGATTCTGTAGCATTCTGAAAAAAAAAGAAAAAAAAATGCTAGTTCCACAGAAATCCTAGTTACTAGGCTGCAATGGAGAGCAAATTCTTAGCTTTTCTTCACTTAAGGCTAAATCTATGCCCAGATATTCTTAGGAGCCTGTTGGATAAGTTTTACAGGTGGCAGAGCTCTATTTTTCTGCACTCTCAGGCTTCTCTGCCCACCTATGTGGCCCCTTAAGCATATCCAGGATTTTATTTTTCTTCTATGCTTGCTGAACTGTAAGTTCCAGCTCCGCCTGCTGAACCACAAAGTTCTTCAAGCCCTCATGCTACTACTGAGTTCCATTCAGGGAGAATCAGGAAGACCATCCACCCAAGCTGTGCCAATTGAGGCTACCTTACCACTAACCCCAATCTGGAAAAAGACAAATTAGTTTGCACAATTAGCTACTGCAATTCACCAAAGCTGTGTTTCCATTTCCTAGGACTGCCAAATGAGAAATAAACTCAATGGTACGTGATCTAGAAATGACAAGAGACCTACTGGTCTCTCTATTAGTCATTTGCTCCTGTCTCCTAGCACACCCCCATGAGTCCTCATGTTCCATTCTTTCTTGTCAAAGAAGCCCAGTTCCTCTGCATTTCTGAACCCGTACTTGATTGCTAGGCTGGAGGCCACTTCAGAAGCTATAAGCCCTCACTCAGCTTGCCAGATTCTCCTAAGCAGCCCACAAGATACCAGGCAGTTTAAAGGCAGTGGTACCTTACAAGGTAAAAAGCTGCTGCAAGGAAAATACCTTTACAGTTGCCTTCATCACCTGCGTATCACCAGAAAAGCCCCATCCTTCTTGAGCTGCTCAGACAAGTTACAGTCTCAAAGTGAGCAGAGCAGACAAACTGGAAACTGATTACACGGATCCCCACAAAAAAAAAAAAAAAGTGTTCTCCATTCCCCAAGACACACTATATAGAAAAGTCTGTCAGCAAGATCTGAGTTCCTGAGGACTGAGAGCTGCAGGACACCCAGAGACCCTTCACTGTCAAATGGGCATGGTACACTGACCAGATCTGCTGTCTCAGCCCACCAAGCAGTAAATCCAGAACCACCCATCCACAACCTCGTCACCCCTTCCCTTGCTTCTGCCCTGAATACAGTAACATGCACTCATACAATGCCTTTGGGCACTGGATTAAATGTGTCTTTCATTAAATAGGACAAAGATGCACAGAAGGCTGATTTGTAAGGGCAGAGAAATGGTCTGGTACAGTTGCGATTCTGCCTGTGCCAAGAGCTCTCTCATCCCTGGCAAAGCAGCAGTAAAGCTATCTTATCGCTCCCCTCCCCCATGTTTCCCTAGGGAGCACTAGCACTAGACCTCATATGGGTCCATCAAAGACTAACATGCTGCCCCAAACTTCACTTCAGACTAACTGGATTCTCAATAACTATGTTTTTTTCCCTGCAAACCTTTCCCAGCGATTCAGTCTCTGGACTATCAAGCTGCAACTGTAGAGTTGCTCTCTGCACAGAGAGCAAGAAGAGCACAGTCACTAGCAACACAGAGGCAAGAGACTTACTTGTAGGTTTTGGTTCTGTCCAACCAGAGACCAGAGATTAGAGCACCAGCCATGCCTGACAGTACAATGGTGAGTCCAATCCTGCCAGCATTCACCTCCTCCTTCTGTGGTAAGACACACACAAAAACACATGAAGCCAAGTCATAGCCAAAAAGTGAGGTGTGGAGAACCCAGACACAAAGAGACACCAAAGTTAGTGTCCCATATACAACTTCTTCTGTTAACAAGCTAATGAAAGGCAGTGTTTGCAAGAACTTTTTTGGGTACAAGCACTTCTCTCTGGGCCAGCCCAGAGAAAACATGAATGTGCTGGCCAACATGAACAGGTATCCTCAGAGAAGTCAGCCTAAACTGACTGATGCTTGATATCTGGCATCAGGATTCAGGCCACATCAACCAGGAAATCCTGGGACTCACTACAAGGCAGCATGGACAAGCTCTCTTTGGTGCTCTGTCCCAGCAGTAAATATCACAGCAGCTCAGCATCTGGAGCACACACAGATTCCAGGTGCAGATACACCAGCAGAAATCACTGTCAGGAATAGAGCAGAGACAACTGCTAGGAGAATCTCAGAAGAAAGAGCTTATACTTGGGTCATTTAGGGCATGAAGGAGTTGTCTTTTTTAGAGCTCCCATTCTTCACAGAGTGCTGTAAAGAACAAAAGGAAATGATGGTCTCTAGCCAGCCAGCCAACCCAGGCCAGGGCCAGCCAGAAGTGCTGCAGAAGCACTTTAACCCAGGCCAGAAGCACTGTACTTCTCACAGACTCTCCTCTGGCTGCTAATAATGGACAATGGCAAGCATCAAAAGGCCACAAAGACTGGATGCACTTACTGGGTAGTGATGGACGACCATGCGGTTCAGCAGAGTGGACAGGGAGTAGAAGCAACCTGTATTCAGACCTGAGAGGAGGATAAAAATGAGGCATATTCAGTCTGCTGCTATTCTGCTGTAGAAATGCATCAAGATCATTAGGACAGCAGTCTACTGTCAGGCTGCAGAATATCAGGAGATAACTATAGCTGGACAGGCTGGGTAGTGGCAGAAATGCAGACCAAGGACAACTGGATCTCAGCATGCAGTAGGAAGCACCCTGCAATGTCAGGACAGTTCTTACCTGAAGAGCCAGAAGAAAAGCTGTACATATTTCTAGTACTGAAAGGTTATGCAAGCTCTTCATAGGGTATCAACCCCTCCCGCACAGACAGAGGCATCTTCAGCAGTGGCGCTGAGTTTTCTCAAAGCAATGGCAAAGTATCTGCCTCAGCATCAGGTGAATCTCAGGGCCCAAGATTCAGTTAACACCAGTGTACTGATCAGCAAGGTTTCCTTCCCAAAGAACCACCTGGCAGCTCTCTCCCGGCTGACAGTAAAGGACAGTCTCTCCAAGCCAAGAAATACCAGAGGGCAAGAAGGAGCAGATCTAATAGCAAGCACAGACAGCACTTCCCCAAGGCACCTGCATCTGCATGAGGAAAGTCTTGCATTTTTACAAGATACCACTGAAGCCTGAAAAATAAAAAAACTGTGAAAGTAATCGTCCTTCAGAAAGGGAAGTTAGATTAACTGTTAGAGGCGTCAGCCACCTGGTGAAGGTTTCTCAGTATCACCCAAGGTGAGAATGGAAACTGTTGAGGGTGATACTGGTCAAGCCATATTCAGACACCCAACTGCAGTACACATGCAACTCTGATTGAGTTGAATGCCTTCCTGAAGGGCATGGAAAACAAGAGTGCTCTTAAAATATATATATATATATATATATTTTTTTTTTTTTATTACAGTAGACAAGCATATCCACATGGGTGCTGGAGTAACAGTACCACAACGGCTACACTCTCACCTTGGGTGATACTGAGAAACCTTCCCCAGGTGGTTGATGTCTGTAACAGTCAGCTCAACTTTCTTCTCAGAAAGTCATTTACATTTGCAGTTAGTTTCTCTTCAAGGCTCCAGTGAACTTGGTAGGGGGAGGGAGAGGGACACAGATTTCACCACTGCAGCTCACATTTACAGGCTCCATAAAGTGGCATGGGATTTTAAAATTCTGGTTCAGATGCCAGAAATTCTGACAGCTCAGATACATGTCAAGTTCCCACTTCCTGTTTTTCCTCTTTCAGCCTCGGCTAAAAGCAGAAAGATGGCAATTGTAGAGAAGTGCAGTCTAGCAGGCACAGCTTTGACAACACCCTGAAGTCAAACTCCTGCTTCCCTGTTCCTGACTTGGGCAATCCTAGACCCAGCCCAGCACCCTACACAGCTCAGGAAGCAACCAAAGAAGCCACAAGATTAACAGCTGGAGGGAGGATCTCACTTTGTTCACACACCATCCTTGACAACTTTAAGCAGAGCTAACTTCACAGCTTCATGAGGCAGAACAGATGAATAATCTTATGCAAGTGATCCCATAAGCTGACTGCCTGTGGCAGTGGTTCCTGTTCCAAATGCATGTCCCAGGAAGTGACTGGAGAGGCAAATAAGCTGAGTGACTTGCTCTTTATGCACAAAAAAACCAACCAACCCTTTTCAAGTGTTATCTAGAAAGGCTGGAAACTCCTGCAGCCTTGAAAGCTGGCTCTTTGCAACTCCTGACTATGGCAAAGCACCCCACAAGAATCTAATCTGAGTTCATCCCATCTCCACCTCCTAGCTCACTAGGAGACACAAGAAACTGCAGCATCAGGTCATGGGAGCGTGGCAGATCAGAAGTCCTTTAAATCCTTTACCTACTGCTGCTTCACCTCAAAGCTGGGCACAAACATAGGCCAGTCATTTATGTATCTAATACTTCTCACTTAACCAAGAGTACAGCAGCCTGCTGGGGACAGCCAGACTCTGGTAGCTGATGCCATCAGCATGCCAGCTCCACAGAGGCTCTGTGATGCATGGGATTTCCAAGAAAGAGAAGGGCACCTAATCCTAAACTGGGTAGAAAGAGATGCTGAGTTGGCAACAACACTTGGCACCGGAGTCAGACAAAATAAGAATCAAGACAACGCGTCCAATTTGCATTTGTGAAGGCTGGCAAAAATGCAGGCATTTTACATGTCACAGTTGCTTGGTGAAGTTTCTCCACAAATTATAGCCAGCTGTTTGAATGCCTGTAAAATGAACAAGAGATGTTTCCAATAGTGCCCAATCGCCTTTGCAGATGAGGAAACCAGAACCAATAGCTGGGATAAACACATCTGAAGGTTTGGCCTCATCTGATTCATTAGTTAGTTACCATTTACTTGTAATGTGCTGTATAAGAACATTTTTGAGACCTCACAGTGTCTCCTATATTTTATAAAGGCCATAAAGGGAAAGTTTATTGCCTAAAGTTCCAAAAGGAGATCTTACGAAGCCTCTGACTAGATCTCAATTCTCCCATAACTAAGCAGTGTATTACCTACAAGCCAGACTAGCAGGTCTTCCTCTTCACCTTCATCATCATCCAGAAAAATGATTCCTTATGCAGACCTCATTATCCTGCCTTTTCATCACTGCCCCTTTCCAAATGCTCATTTTTTGGAGCTGTCTCATCATTCCCATTTAACACCCCCTTCCCAAGCTTTCCCATCCTTTTCCTGCCCACTGCCTCTCTGGAGCAACGTGCAGTTCTAGTGCAGAGTCCAATTCAAGAAACTCAGGAGTTTCTTCATGCCCACTCCATGCTATGACTCAGCTTTACTTAGGCAATGCCAGCAGTCTTTGGGAAAAGATAGCTTGAAGGTTTCCCTGATAAACAGTTCACCTGCACTAGCACTGTTGCACTGCCACCAATGTTTCCACCACTGCAAGCCTTACCACAGAAAGAGCTGGCAGCTGCTGGTAATATCATTTTACCTTAAAGATCCACAGGCCTGTTCTGACCTGGCATCCCATGAAGGCCCACATTCTTTCTAAAGCCACAGGAGATGAAGCAGCAGGTCATTTCCCGTTCTCTCCCCTGTTGCACACTATGCTAATACAAAAGCTAGGACAGGCTGCAGATATCTGTGTTTGCGAGGGAGGATGACTCAGTTGTGCTCATGTGGCTGGAGATGTCTTAAATCTTGGCCAACATAACTACTGACTTGATTAGGAAAAACTGTCCCCATTTTTAAAGCCAGACAAGTTAAAAAAAAAAAAAAGTTTCACTGCTTAGTTCCTTCTCTGAGTAACAGTCACTCATCTTCACTGCCAGCAGCCTTAAAGTCAAGTTGGATTGATGTGAGGCTGACACAGGGAGGAGCAGAATAAATGCACAGACCGGCAGGAAGAAAGGTGGGATTACTTTCCACATCATTTGTGACTGCCAGGAAGGAATCATCCCTGGGAAATATGCTCTTCGTACTGAGAGCCTGCCTCTCTCACCTCGGGCTTGTTCACGCCTATTAAAACTAATGCTTTCCCCTTTCTTTTTCCTGAAACGTACAAGCAAACTGAGCAGATGACACAACCCAGCTTTTAATCAGCCTGCCTCAGTCTGTTTCTTGACAGTTTTTTCAATCTCCACTTTCATAGAGGACACCAAGTACTAAAGGAAAACAAAAAAAAACACAACAGCAACATAAACCAGCAGAGCCTAACAGCGGTCTGAGGGGTGTTTCTAGAGAACTGTCCTAGGAAGGGAGAGGAGATTTTAGCAGCTCCAAGGACCATTAGCACCCTCAGAAAGTACAAAGCCACCATGTTACTCTTTCCAACTGGACATGCCACCCAAAAAGTTCACAGCTGAACACAGAACCACAAAAGTTCAAGCACTCGTTATCTTTCCTCCTGAAAAGCTTCCACAGCAAGAAGGTAGGAAGAGGAGACAGACCACTCTGCAGACAAGCCCACAACTCTATCATACAGCCAGATGCAGGCTGCAGTGGCCTTTCCTGTCACCACTAAAGAGAAAAATACTTCTCTTTAGGATAGGACATCTGAGCATCAGGAACAGATTCAACACATCACACTGCCCTCAGAGAAATACAGCAAGACTGCTGAAGAGAAATAGCAAATCCAGTGTGTAAGAACAGATGGCAAAAGAACATAGTCTGCAATACTTCCTTCTATTTGCTTTATAGGGATTGCCAGAAAAGCTGGAGCAATCTGAACACCTACACGCTCCACATCACCTCCACTGGGAAGCCTGGCAATCATACACTTTCCTTGGAAAATAACTTGCACTCAGTGCAGTGACTTGCACTCAAACACAGCTCCATGTTTCTTAAGTAAACACTTAGATTAGTTCAAGTTACTAATGAACTAGAAAAGAAAAAAACAACAAAAAACAGAACTTGATAAGAAAATCCCCTGAACAGAAAGCGGTCACGAGCTGAGAGAAAAGTGGTGAGGTCGTACTGTCCTGCGCATTCTTGCCCTGTTTATATTCTTCCCTAGCCATTTGCTTGTAACCACTGCTGGACAGACTGCAGTGCTAGAGGGACCCCTGACACATGGCAGTACAGCTATCCTTACGTTCCCCTAACCCTGCTCAGCCCCGTTACAGCCCTGGCACAGCACAGAGAGAGAGGGAGAAGCTAAGCATGTCTATCAGAACAGAAGAATAGCCAGAACTTACCATAAGTGACCATAAGCAGCACAAAGTTGGCATTGCGAAGCAGGCGAAGGATTGATTGCACATAGGAATATTCCTCTGTTGGTCGTGACTGGATCAGGGCCTGAGCTCGGCTGGGAGGATATGGAGGTTTCTCTTTGAAGACTGAAACCAGAAACAAAATAGACATGTTTGCAACAGTGCAACTGGGGAGCCTGGGCACACAAGGAGGGAACTGTTCAAGGGACAGCACAGCGGCTAGTAAAATCAAGTGTATAAAACACATCAACATCCTTCAGATTTGATTCTCTGTGCACAAACTTATCCAGAAACAGGAGAAGAGAGTGTCTCTGCAACAACTCCTATCACTGGGGAAACACCTTGCCTTTAATAAGCAAGTTGTACAGGCATTTGGCAGAAGAGTTGGCAGGACTAATAATGTGGTCTGCAGGAAGGTAGAGAGACAGCTGCTGAAGTGTTGTGTGGACATACAAATGCAAAAGAGAAATGAGAAAAGCCATCTGGCAAAGGTGGCCTACTGCCCCCACAGTATCCAGTACTTAAGGAGCCCATGCTAGGTTTTATATCAAGCCTGGCACCTCTCAGTCTGGACAAACTGACTCTAATTAGCATTAAAGTGGTGCTCAGGATTCCAGGTTGTCAGTTATACACTGCTGTACTAGGAGACACAGCTATTTTGGTACCTTGTCTATTCCCTACCCCAGAATCATTAAAAATCTACACCTGACTCACCTACCAGGCAATATAAACAAGCTGGCAAGAAGAATCTCTTAAAAAAATAATAATTTAAATATTTAGCAGGTAAGCTCTGCTCTCCAACGAGCATGCCAACCTGTCATGCCGATGTGTGAACTGGAAGCCAGATCTTTAACAGGGGGAATTGCATCTCCAGTGTCCTGCTATTGCCCTTAGCACTTTCTTTGCTCCACTCCCAACTGGTAACCTGTTTTTTTCTTCCTGAGAACAGCACGTTCTTGCCACATAGCCTACCTCCTCCCTATCCTTAAGATGTAATCCGCTCCAAGACATGACCCAAAGCCCAGCATCCTGTTTGTAGGCAAGACTGCGAACACTGAAATATTTCTATGATCGGCATTTAAAGGGCTTATTCATGCCAGGGTTTTATAACATAGACAGTCAAAAGATGAAATGAGCAGTTTGACAGGCTCGCTCACAACCCCCCCTGCCCCTTCCCACCCTTCTACGACTGCCATTCATTTAGGGCTTGAAGCAGAAAGATCTAGTATTACATGACACAGTCAGCTGTGTGCAGGGACACATCTCCAGATGATCTCCATTCACACAGACAGGCTGACCTCAGCTCCACTTGGAGTCATGCATATGCTTCCCACGTCCTTACCTATGATGACCAGGATGAAGAGGGCTGTTGCCACGCCTGCTGTCATGAAGAACATGATGCTTATGTGGTAAGCCAGCTTCTCCACATCTTCCACATTGGGAACGAGCACAGGAGGGATCAGAAAGCCAAGAGCAATGCCGAGCTGAGCAGAAGAGAGAAGGGACACAGAGGTGGCATGGAACCATAAAACACTGCCACTAGCTCAGAGCTCATGAGAAATGCAATCCTCCTTCACCTGCTAAGAGCTCAACTGGGCCTATTCTAGTCTCACCTCCAAAGTGAAAATCTCCTTTACCACCTAATAACTGAAAGCTAAACCAGCTGCCCACAGCAACTAGGCCATGAGAGGTCTCCCCCCAAATTCACAACTATGACAATGTTCAAGGAAAGGTTTTATAATATAATTGAGCAGAATTAATACTAGCTTACAACAAAGTGGAGTTCTTGTTCTCCTTGTGCTCTTCCACACATGCTCCTGTCCACACACACATTCCACTCCTTATCTTGCATCTATTCAGGTGCCAGCCCAGTCATTCAATTTTCAAACTTGGCTCATTAAAAATGGTAGAAAATGACACTTCCAAAAAAACATCCAGTTCTTTGTTGGGTCAATGAGTTGAACCTATTTTTCCTCATGCCTGACACAGAGAAAGGCTGACGTAATGTCAAATCCTGCCCACTCCTAATGAGTGAGATATCAATCTGTCTTAGCCATTTCATTATTTCTGAGAGAGCACCCTCCCAAGACAAGGCTCACCCTAATACTCTCACAGCCTTCCCACTGCACCAAGGGAACATAGAAAAAAATCAAAGCCAAAAGCAAAGGATACGTGCTACCAACCCTCTCTAAGCGCTTAAGTTGTGCAATGAGGCTTCACAACTGCCTCAGCTAAAATGCTTGGCCCTGAAGGGCAGCAAGAGGAAATCCCTACAGGTTTGTCCTCCACTGTGCCAAGAGCCCCACATGACCAGCTGAGGAGCTCCCGCAGTGACAGCACAAGCTTCTGTGAGGACATTTGGGCTCTTTGCTGGGTAGCTGTTTCTCCAGGAAAGCAACTAGGAGCTGTAGCAGCACAGGCTTTGACAGGTTGACAGGTAGGACTAAATATCACAGGCCTTCAGTGCCACCCCTCAAATGACAAAGGGGACAAACAGCTGCTTTTATGCTTGGGAGCATGCATTTCATAAAGGCCGAAGTAAAAGTGCACTTATCACATTTCTGAGTACTCTAAACAGGAGGCCTAACAAAGCCACTTTTTGTTCCTTCTCCTGTATCTCACTTTGCAGTTGCTTTTTGTTCCCAAGGAGTGTATTTACCTGCTCCTCTGCCCCTTTCAGCACTTGAACACCTCTCAGACATCAGAAAAAAAGAGCCACAAATCAGCTCAGCTCTCGCTTGCTTTCAGAGACGTTCTGCACATTCATCCCTGTACAGGGCAAAAGCAATCTTCTTTTTATCAACAACCTCATTTATTCTTTCTTGGTTTGAGCCTACATTTGTGAGCAGTAACAGGGCACACACGAGAGCTTCAAACAGTTGGAAGGACCGAGAAGGCACCCAAGAAAGAGACGGCAGGTGGCCATGCATCCATTCTCACCTCTGCTTCAAACATAAAATTCCAGTCTCTTTTGCAGGCTGGACCCTTTGCGGGGCGTTGGAAAAGCGCTCACAGTGCTGGTACAGTGCTAACTGAACTGAGACAGACTAGAAATGTTAAAAAAAATCCCCCCTGCACTGGTTACTCATGCTATATCAACAGCCTTTCAAAGAGCCACAGCTCTCATTCTCGTGCTAAAAAGTGATAGAAGTATGCAAAACATGAAGATAAAGGATGTATTCAAATTAAGCCCATTGCATGTACCATTTCATTATGGAAACATCAGATAGATATGAACCCATTAGCAAAACCACGACCAGCTGCCCCACGATTATGCAGCAGACCAGCAGCGCTGCCCAACAAAAGGATTCATTGCTCAGTATTTTTACAGTCTCTGGAAAGTGTATATTAGTGTCAGCCTTAATCTACAAGCAAAGAAAGCAAGGACCAAGAAACACAAGCACTCTGCTGCCCACTAACCACATACAATTGTGGCAGAATACAGAGCAGAACAACCCAGGAGCTCTGTGTCCCTGACAAGCTCAAACACCTTCTGGCTGGCCTTCTTGCAATAACTCCTCACACCTTCTGCATGCTCTTGCAGACATACCTCCTCATTGAAGCACAATGAGGGACTTCTTTTAGAAGACCCACTCACTGGCCAGGATAAAGATCATGGAACAAATACACTCAGGTGCTACATCTGGTGGTTGTAACAAAAGTCAGTTTGTGCTGTGTAGCAAGCTCTTCACAAACAATTCTACTCCACCCAGCTGGTGGATCTTTGAGGCAAGGAAGCCGCTCATGGCTCAGAGCTGTCCGCTAGACTCAGAAATGTATTTAACTTATAGACAAGTAAATTTCAACTGCATCTGGTCAAACTCCTCCCGTGTCAAATAGTGCCCTTTCTGGGACACATGATAGCATAGGTCTGGATCAGCAACAGACACTTGCACTGAGTTCACTCCCAGGACATCACAGGACCTTGTGGGAAGAGTCATCAAGAGACTATGGATGTGCTATGCCACACCAGGCCACTTTTGGGAACGAGAGCACTCAGAGGTTCAGTAAGCACAATGAAGCACAGTGAAGATGGACACCAAACCAAAAGGTACTTACAGGGCAGAAGCCTCTTCATCTCTGCAGCACATTTATTTTGGCCAGAGTATGGTCCTGCCGCTCCAGCATGCCTGCTCAGCCAGGACACAGCCACACCAGGCTCCAGTACTGCTTCTCAGCACTCCTAGAAGTTCAGGCTTCGAGGATGAGATTCAACATTGTTCCTTTCCATCTAAGGCTGGGATCTCCTAGCCCTTACGCACCGGGTTCCACGTTGGCCCCTCCGCCCTTTGAATGAGGTCTATAAACCGCTTCCCAGAAACTGCTCCTTTGCCCCATCACCCTTTCATTCCTGGGAGAATAGGGCCGGATTCCTGTGCTAGCTGCTCCTGGGCTTGCTCTCTGCAATCACATGGTGTCACATGAGCTGCTGAACCTCAGCAGAACACACACAGAAAATAGGAAGGTTTCTCTGGGACCACAGTCCAGATTCCCTCTTTTGTCTAGCCTTTCCTATCTGAAAAGGGCACTGAGAATCCGTTTTGCAAATTGTCCAGAAATCCTTTTCTGAGAGTCCTATGGCCATTGACACTCCAGCAGGTCTGAGAGAGAGCTGTGTCTGTCACCATTGCTGTCTTCTCAGAAGACCTGAACACAAAATGATATTCATCCTCACTCCTTCCCTTCAAAAAAAAAAAGAAAAAAAGTAATACTTTCTCCATTGGGAGTTTATTAAACCTGAGAAGAATTAGGTGGTAGATGGAAAAAAATCCCAGCATAGCAACAGGAAACACATTTTATATTTCAGAGCCACTGACATTACTAATGCTATGATGATGAGGCCCCTTTGACATACTGAGGGATACTCACAGACCCCGGATACGAATATCACCTTTTGCAACAGAGGCAAGCTCCCCACAACATGGTAAGTATTACACAGCACGCAATTCAGCTTTCAGAAGGAGGAGGGATTTAGCTTTCAGCACATTGCTAAATCTGCAACATGAGAGCATCCCCACACCTGAAATGCACAATCATGTCCTGACCTCCAAGAACTTCCCTGCAGAAACCAGGCTGCTGGCACTTAAGAAGGCTTTGGAATAATTCTTGAACAGAACATCCAAAGAGTCAACAACAGCAGAGCGTGCTGTTCAGATCATTTATTCTCCAAAAGTTGATAAAGTAGAAAGAATCTATTTCCTACCCGAATTCTATCAAGGTGCAGTGCCAACAGTGACATCAGATTCAAGATCCAACTGTGTGCAAGAACAGATGATAAAGCAGACAGCAAGGAGCTGGTAAGATGGTATAAATATCTCACAGTGGACAGGCTGTCTAATTTAAGTTTAGCTGTTTGTACACAAACAGTCTGCTGAAGGATGATCATCAATGCAGTATCAGCACAAAAAGTGCAAATGAACAATTGATGGAGGAGTGGGTATCCACCTTAAAGAAACCTAAGACTTAGCAGCGAGAATATAAAAACCCTATGAAATTGCAGAGCAACCAGAAATATAGGCACAAGAGACCACCACACCAAGAAGGTCAATTAAAGTGTTAAGACAGAAGGAGAAAGCAAAGCAAAACAAAACAAAAAACCACAACAGTTAGAAATTTTGGCAGCGGTCCTTACAGGCTAAGGGTTACAACAGGGTTGATGCGAAGGACTTATTTTCAGAGCTCATAAATACCTTTTTCTAGGGAGAACCCATAAGACACAACACAACTCCTGATTTAGGTCTAGGGCAGCACACCCCACGACCAATATTAGTGAACTGTTCTGCAGTGCATTCAAATTCAGCTTCCTTGCAGCAGTAGGAATCAAACAAGCAAACACAACAGCAAGAAGTCCCTTCAAACCACTATGGCAATATTTAACTCACATGAGGGATCTGCCTAAAAGGAAAGAAGACCTTTAAAAGGAAAATGAAGGGAAAATCCAAAGAAACTTATTGCTTGCATTAAGACTGCACAAACACACTGCATTTGGGGGCTCGGAGTAGCTGTATGAAATATCATCCAAAATTTTAGAACAGGGGATAAAAGCAATCGCAGTTAAAAAGCAAAGAAGGAAAAAAAAATACAATAAATCAGCACACCTCTCAAAAGCTGGATTTCATTTCTCTGAGCATGAAAAAGAAGGAAGGGACAGCAAGCTGGACCAAACTAAAGCAAAATCATAATTAGGCCAAAAAAGGCTGAGGAGCCTTTTTTGACAACTAAATCAAAACTCTTCAAACACAGCACAATCAGGAAGCCTGCCAGAAAGGCTGCAAGGCCAAAAGATGATCACCATGGAAGGAGAATATTTGAGACAGAGAACTAAATGAACTCTTGCATCAGCATCAGCATTCACTATGTGGTTTTTACGGGGAGTTTCCATCTCAAAGGAATCTCTTCATATGGCAAATAAAGTTTTATCATGGAAGATTTTAATCAATTTATTGCAATTAATTTGTTCTATGATGTATCAGGACCAGAAGGG